ACTCTTTCAAAATGAAATCCTGTGCAATGATGATGGAGTCCTTCATTCTGAAGTCTGCAACAGAGCTTTTGGTATTGCTTACTGTGCATGAGGATCTTGGCATTTTGAATAACTTGTTCAAAACCATCATAATGCAGTTAACTATACAGACACTAACAAAGTGATCCTAAGAACACTTTCCTGGAGTAAATCCTATTAAATAGAACAGAGTAAGATTCTGAGAAAACTTGCTTATGATCGTTGTCTAAATTTCTTAACTTTTTTGTGATTTTAGCTATGTTACAAAAAAACACAAAGGGCATGAATAATCTGATTGGTTCTACAACGATATTCCTATTTCATTGTTTATTGAATGTCTTCATCCTGTGGATTATATTGACTCACTCCGTGTAATCCGCCATGAGTCCAGTTGAGAAAGGTGTACTATAAATAATGTAAATATAAATAATCTCTTCTTGTGAAAAGAAACTAAGTACTCACTATTTATAAATACTGTTGGACAGATGCCTCTCCCAAGTTTTAAAATCTAATGTTTATCAGGCATTGCATCATGAGTTTGCCAATGTTTTACAATTCTGCAGTTTTCTTTGAGAATATATTTTCTCTATTCTTTCTGCCACTAAGGAGACATGCTTTAAATGGCTTACACCAATATAGTAACACAAGTGGCTCTTTTCAATAACAATTACAACATAAATACAGAGTAGCACTTGTGGATAAAGCAATGTTTATATATTAAGAGTTCTGGATGGGAAACCAACTTATCTTATGATAAAGTGATCAGTTTTCTAGTCAGTCTTATTTGTATATGTAATTACACTCCAGTAACTTTTGTAACTTTTGGAGCTGCAGTGGCTCAAGTGGTTAAGACGCTGAACTGCAGGCTGTGGAAGGTCAGTAGTTCAGCAGTTTGAGACCCAAGTTGCCGCATGACGGAGTGAGTTCCCGTCTCTAGTTCCAGCTCCTGCCAACCTAGCAGTTCGAAAGCAAGAAACTGCAAGTAGATAAATAGGTACGACTTCGGTGGGAAGGTAACAGCGTTCCGTGCGCCTTGGTGTTTAGTCATGCCGGCCCCATGACCACGGAAATGTCTTCGGACAGCGCTGGCTCTTTGGCTTTGAAACGGAGATGAGCACCGCAACCCTAGAGTCGGACTCGACTGGCTTTCGAGCAAGGGAACCTTTACCTTTTTAACTTTTGTAATGTTTTTGGGAAAGGTGATTCAGCTTTGTTCTTAAAAGCTTCCAAGCAACTTTCTTCCTTGAAGCAATATTCATTAGTTCCTATTCAATCATTCTAAATTTAATAATTTATATCCACGGTACCTGATTTAGCAGATTTCAATGTATTCCCATTTCCAGATAATTTTTATTCATTAAAGCTAGTTCTAGCAATCAATGTTGATTACATAAAACTAAACAGAAAATCATGTATAGTTTTTATAGTATACAACAGGTTAGACAATTGAAAGTAACTCCCAGAAACTGAAATATAAATCCTCTTTAATGTACAACATCCTGAATGCTGAAGCCCTAATTTGCACTACATGGGATCAGTTCCAAAACTCAACGGTTTCAGTTTTTTCAAGGTATGCAATCAAATAAAAAGGGGAGTTATCTTACAGTCGCATACAAGTTATAGTTGAACCCTACAGTATTTTTTGTGTGCGTATAACATTTGGGAAGGTCATCTTATGTTCAGGATCATCTTCCTTTTGAGTAAAAACGGTACCTGTTCAACCCTGGACTGACCAACTACAGGCCACTCTCTTACCAAATACATTTACTAAATAGGAAGAAAACCATAATTCATTGAAATATAGAACTGTTTTTAAGCAACTACTCAGTACTCCGGATCAGAAAAACAGGTTGCTTACCTGTAACTGATTATCTTTGGGCGGTCATCTGTGCAGTCACACCTCTGGGATACAGTGCCCCTGCACCAACCTCAATTGGTTCCTTTTGAAAGCAAAAGGGATTTCCCCGCTCACTCCCCAGTCACATGCCGGCCCCACTGTGCATGACCAAGGGAGGGGCACGACAATCTCACCAGTTCCTTCTGACCACTGCCATCAGTCTCAGAGTAATAAAAAGGAGAGGACCGAAAGCAGAGGGGAAGGAGAGCAGGTGGTGTGAATGCACAGATGACCACTCAAAGATCATCAGTTACAGGTAAGCAACCTGTTTATCTTCTTCGTGGTCTCTGTGCATCACACCTCTGGGAGATTAGCAAGCAAAAACAGGCCTACCTGGAGGAGGGAGCTGAAGGTCCTAGACTTGCGCCGCCTGGAACACTGCCCGTCCCACCACAGAACGTTGATGAAGACGCACATCCAGGGCATAATGCTTCACAAACGTGGGGGGGGGGTAGCCCAGGTTGCTGCTTGACTCTTAGGAAGGCTGTAGACATGGCCACTGCCCAGGTGGTATGCACTCGTAGTGGGCCCAGAAGTGGCTGTTTGGCCAGTACGTAGCACAGTTTGATGGTTTCCACAATCCACCTGGATAGACGTTGCGAAGAGAGCTTCTTCCCCAGCACAGGTGTGCTATAGGAGACGAACAAGGCTGGTGACTGATGGAATGACCTTGTCCTATCAAGGTAGAAGAGTATGGCTCTCTTGACATCTAGAGTATGAAGACGGTGTTCCTCGTCGTTCGTAGAGGACGGGAAAAACATCAGAAGAGTGATGTCCACTT